GTGCAATAAACAACAACATTTGACCAATCAGAGAGCGAGTACTATGATAGCTATTATATAAAACATCTTACCTGTTCTGGAACAGCAGCATTCTTGTTTACTATCGATATATTTACATCACCAGTAGCCCTACAGACGAACAATACAATTCTAATAAACAATGAAGAAATACTGAAGACAGCCTCAAGAAAATTGACACAAACTTACAATTGATCAATTAAAAATGCATTTAAAAGGTACACTATCTATTTAAAYATGTTAAAATAACTTCAACGTCTTTTTAACTCTTAGTGAACGAAACATACTAAAAATCCAAATACTCGGCTCCTTCACGGTTACCTGCGCGATCTTGAAAGGTAGCTGTTCCTTTGCATCGAAGCGAGACGACCGTTGAGCGTGCAATGATAGAAACCTTCTTCACACCTACAGGCAATTATCACAGGTTTCTATCATTGCATGCTCAAAGGTTGTCTCGCTTCGATGCAAAGGCACAGGTACCTTTCAACATGGCGCAGGGAACAGTGAAGGAGACTATTGGTTAAAAAATTCTTTAGGTCTAAGTTAATCTACATTGACTGTTTTGTTTATATAGCATATTCATTCAAACATTTTACAAATGCAAAATGAGCTTGACATGACGGCGCAGCAACTCTATAGAGTACACAAGAATGCTCTCTATCCAGATAATTCTTTAAAGCAACACATGAGCTAGCAGCTCTTGAGCACTGACGATAGCAAATAGACACTATACATGTTTGAACACAACTGCACGACTACAGCAACTMTAATTTCCATCATTCTTGCTATTTTTGTATTGAACTCAGACAAGCTATGAATCATGTTTTTTCTATGTTGGCGCTTGATTACAAATTAGTTCACCAAAGAACGATATTTTGACAACACGGAAGAGCACAAATTCTCTCAAATCTTCCACTTGCTTAAAAGATATMTGATGTATAATATCGAGATATTCTTTCCATTTACAAATAACTATTATTTGGATTATATACTTCTACAGACTTGGTTATTAATTGAGAATTATTTTAAATAATACTTACTCACATGTGACTTCATTATATCCTTGGAAATCGTATCTGTTGAGTGCTACAGTCATTGAGATCACCCTCTTTGTATTTTATTAGGTAATCTTACTTCCTATGTCTACAAAACTCTCGCTGAGTTGTAACTCGGTAATATAATGCGACTTTCAATGCTGCTGCTAAATTCAACTTATTCCAGTTTCAGCCTATCTACGTAATATAACCAATACCTGCCAAATGCTACCATAGCTTTCCAAAAAAATTAAAATATTTCAAACATTGCTCCCTAATTAGCGCATAACATTTGTATATTTGTCCTGTTTGATGGCTAAGCAAAAACCGACTGTATACTGCCTGCACTTTAGAATTCAACAATCTAACTACTATTTCCTAGATGGAATCTTATAAAAAGGCAAAATGCAAATTGAGAAACAATGCGCGTAAGAACTGTAGAACTCTCTATTGTTCTGCGGCATTGCAACTTCCCCACATACAAATGTCTTGGTTTTCACAGTGATTATATATCAACCTATGGGTAACGCATTTTTGAAATAAAACGTGGATAAACTCTATTTTGAAACAAAGTTTCTTTTGTATTAAAACCTCTTATCCAATCACAAGCACTCAAAACAATAGCCAAAAGAAGCTTCTAATTTGCTATGTTCCCCACATAGAATTGCCTTAATATTGTAGCTAAAGAAAGCTTTCATGAAGTCGGAATCAGATATTAAATAAAATATTAGAAAATGCGCTAACTTGTAAAATTATAGCAAATTTTCTTGTTTGAACCAATGGGATGGATGGATTATATACAATACACAATTAGCACCTTCTTGCATTCCTTTGCCGTTTGCTTCTTTGGTAAATGTAAGACCTGGTCTTTTCTTTATAAGACACTGGTTCGAATTTCACTATTTTCTGTACTGTAATGAAATGACATGCATGTTCACTAAATTTCAGATTATAGGATACTTGCAACAGTAAACCATCAGTAACTGCTGGGTACGCAGTACTCGGCRTTGAGCATAGAACTTTTCTTTTGAATTCAACAAGAGGGAAATAAAATCATGTAAAAATGTCTTCAAGGTTAGCATTATGAAATATGTGGAAATTATCAGCTATAGCATCCTTTGACTTCAAAGCTACATCTGACTGCCTACCCTACCACTTTTCCGATTCTATTATATTGTTCAGGTCGAGAAGCCTCTGTATTTACTTGCCAAACTTCGTATACAAATGGTAAACGAGGCTGTAATGTCTGGAGCATGCGTAAATAGCTTTGCTTGGAATGGAAGTAGTGTCATGGAATGCCCATGAAAGCATCTATAGTTCCTTGCTGAATTTGTCATTAACCACAAACAATTCTCCATTTTGCAGTTCCCAGCGCCTTCTTGAAAGGTAGCTRAACCTTTGCATCAAAGCAAGGCAGYAGCTGAGCTTACATACTATCTGTMACCGCTGGCTTACCATCTGCCTTGCTTTGATGCAAAAGCTCAGCTACTTTTCAAGATGGCCCTGGAACTAAAATACAGGAAACAAATAGCAGGAAAAAAACATGGTCCACCAACAGCTTGCACGTGAAAATTGTCACAGTTTCACCATCCAAAATGTTGCTCCTCGAACTTAATAGACTGTTTTTTTTACAATTGCCTTTTCACAGTATATAAGTCATATTCATAAGTTATTCTGAT